ATCATCACTTTTTAAAACAAACATAGCTGAAGACTGAAGTTAGTTAAAATAAAAGCAGTGTCATAGGAAAAAACTGTCCTTTTGTCACTCCAGTTTTTTGCAGGCATGAAGGTCCATGTTTGCCAAAAAAGCTATGTAGCTATGAGATATCTGGTGTTTGAATGCCAGTTGCATTTTTGCTCTGCTAAATGTCAAAATCTGTTGATTTTTATAAGAAATTTTTCCTGAAATTAGGTTCAAGATAAATAGTGTTTTAGTTATCTCTGATTGGTCAAGTATTTTACATGGTGATGCTAATTTCTAACCAATAGACACTGATATAAATGGGGTGTGTTGTATAGTGGAAACTTTTTGGCATGTTTTTAAATATTGTCTGTTATCAGCTAGAAAATAAAGTTTGGGCACATTTTGGATATGTATGCTCATTGGTCTCTATTACTTTTTTCTTTAGTATCATAGCCTCTTCCATCCCTTGTTAGGTGACAGACATATCAGTTCTCTAGTGGATGCAGTGTAGGAAATTCAGTTGTCCACATTTTTTTATATTAAAAATCCAAATGTTTAAATAAATCATTGAATTTACAATCATGTACATGGATTTAAAAAGAGTCAAAAAAGTAAGTAAAAGTAGTCTTTAGTTAGTTGGTACACAGAAAAATCTATAGCCTAGAAAAGACTTGTAAATAGTTGGTCCACAGAAAAAAAACTGGTTGGGAAAAGATTTATCATTAGCAAAGATTCACTGACCATCTTTGTTGGAGATGATTCATTTTAAGTTGTCAATATGTTTCTTTCATCATATTCTGGTATGCAGGAAGGAAAAAGCTATGTAGCCATGTTTTCTCTTGTATTTGAATGGCTTGGAGACTGTGTGAAGAAGTGCCAGAGGGTCTTAATAATATTTATCAGAAACTTTGGAATAAACAAACAGAATCAAAGGTAGAAACAGATATGTTTATTTGACTTTGATTATAGTGAGTCCTTTTGTAAATATAGTTGGTGAAAGTTTGTTTGGCTGAGTAGTTGCTAGTTTGCAAGTCAGACTTTGGTAGTAGTCAGGAGTGTGGTTACTTTGGAAACATGTTCAGTATCAATCTGCTGTGTTTTCTCAGCCCTCAAAAAGTGCAGAAAAATGTCTTAAGCTGATGACCACTTTGTTTTTTCATGTGACAAGCTTGGGCTGGTTTTTCTGGCTATCTCTTACCTGCTGTCTGTCAGCTATCTCTTTATATACAGACTACTTGGCTTGAAGCTTGGTTTCTGTTAACATCAAAAGACTCTTTGTTCTTTTGATTGACCAAAATGCTTTTATTTATTTTCCAGTGTTCTTTTCTTTTTCTTTTTATTGCAGAAGTTATATGTGGAACCTCTCTTAATTTGGTAATTAGTTTGTTGCGGGACTGATAAGGACGTCGCCCCTGCAAGCTTTTTGGATTTTAGTGAACAACCAAGACAATGAGGGAAACGGAGGCGGAGGTTTATAATAGGAAAGGATGTCAACTTTTATTCTTCAGTATATAAAGATAGTTATGTACAAGTATATACAATGCGGAAGATGCTTGGCTCGGTATTGGGTGTTGAGTTCGGGAGTGCTGATCGATTGCCAGGCATAGAGAACTCGGCAACAGATGCTGGTTGAAGAGAAGTCGGGGATAGTAGCTAGTCGATTGCCAGGCAAAGAGAAATCGGAATCCCTAAACAGGGCCGAGTCAGAGAGAGGATACGCCTTCCTGGGCAGATCGACCGTGGAAACGGGATCACGCCAAAGTGTATCTCTCGACGAAGGTGGAGTCAGAGTGAGGATACGTTCTTCCAGGGCGGATTGACCGTGGAAATAGGATCATGCAGAAGTGTATCTCTCGAAGAGGCTGGAGTCAGTGAGAAGATATGTCTTCCAGAGCAGATCGACTGTGAAGATGGGATTGCGCTGAAGCATATCTCTCGATGAAGCTGGAGTCAGTGAGAAAATACTGCTTCTAGGGTGATTCGACCACGGAAATGGGATCACGCCGAAGTGTACATCTGTTGCAGACTGGCGAATGTATTTTAAGGTATCAGAAGGCTACTTAATCAAAAGGGGTAGTGATGTTGGTGTTCTTAGACATTCATCCACAATAAATTAAGAAAGATGAATACTGATGACAAATTATTCAAGAGAAATCAAAGTGAAAACAACATAGTTAAAAGTTTAACAATAACATTGATTTATATAGAATTAGCATACACAATTGAATCAAGGATTGTTGAACAAGTCTGAATAGTTGAGATGAATTATTTAGTATATTTATGCCAAGTTTCAGTGTGTGTGAAACTGTTATTAAGGTTTGTGTGTGAAATTAAACTAAGTGTTTGGTCGTGTACAAAAATGTCTTTTGTGGTAATTCAGTCAATAGTGTGTATGCGTATGCTTGTTTAGATTATTGTTCAAAGCTGGTATGAGTTGTGTACCTTTAGTTGTTTTGGTGTTTGGTTGAATGTTTACGAATACTTATTATTGTAGTGTGTTATTTCACTTTCTTTAGTATCGTAAGCAATTGTTCCTGGTAGAGTGAAATGATGTTTGTTGAGTCAGTGAAGTTTGTGCGGGAAAAGTGTAGTTGGTCAAGGTTCTGACTGGCGTGGATTAGTTTGGCATCTCTCCCAGGTGAAATTCTGACTGATCGTACTTGCGTGAATGTTGGTAATGTTCTTTAACGTCTGACCGTGTGGTTAAGATGGGAGCTTATAGTGAGTCAGCCAATTTGTATTGGTTATAAATAGAAATTAGAACTGACCCTCTACAATTTTTACAATATCAAATGTAACAAAGACAACAACAAGAGAAATAACCAAGTAGAAGGTAAAGAAAGCAAACAAAAACAAGACCGATAATATATGTATATACAAATATATATTAATAACAAGTTACAATACATGGAAACAGTACAAAGGACGAAGTGTGTGTGAATATTCTGTATGTGCGTGCGTGCGTGTGTGAATATTCTGTGTGTGTGTGCGTGTGTGAATATTCTGTGTGTGCGTGCATGTGTATTATGCTTTAGCGTGTTTCCACGCTATTCCTTGTTATCGACTACATTTCGAGGTTGATAGTTGAAATCCTCTAGGAATAAGAGAAATTTACCTTGAGGTGTCAGTACACAGGCCTGAAAGGAAAAAAAGAGATCGAGGCGAAGGGTCATTGGCTATTTATAGCCAGGAAAGAGAGACCCCTGGTGAAAGGGTTACGAACTGAAGGAGGAGCTAACTCCGACAAGCTCTTGAAGATTACATCTTGGCAGCAAGGAGAAAGGTGAATGAAGAGAAAACACGAGGGAGCTTATTCGTGATTTGTTTATATAAGGCTGGGTCTCATGTGATCGGCTCTGAGTGAAAACGCGGGAAATATCATTCATTGCGTTCCGGCGATTTGATTGGTCATAATTGGCCAATCAGCGAGCTAGTTTTGAGGAGATTAGCCAATGAATGCTTGTCGCATGATCTGTATGTATGTGTGTGATGGTGGCGATAATCACCACAGGGGAAGAGTGCATTTTCCCACAGGGGTTAACTGGCAAATGTGGATAATTCCATTACATCTCTCAACGGAAGATCTTAAAGGCAGTTTATTTCATGTTTCATCTGTTTTTACATATTTAAAATGTCTTCCTTTCTCACATTTCTCAGTATTAGGCACTATAGCCCCCCCTCTTACTTGAGTCTTAGGGGCATAAAATCAAGGAATTAGCCCCAGGCATCACCAAACCTGTGCACGCCACTGCAACAGCTGCGTATCTTCTTTGAAAGTTGAAGTCTGTGGGATTTTGTAATAAATTTTTCCTGCAAGTAGGCACGAGAAAAATGTTTTTAATTTTCTCTGATTGGTCAAATATTTCACATGGTGATGTTAATTTCTAACCAATAGACACTTCGTTTTAAATGGTGTGTTGTTGGGGAGGCGGGCATGTTTGTAATATTGCCTATGGTCGGGTTATGTGGATATGTAACTGTGTTTGAAATAGGGTTCAATAAAAAAAACACAAAAAAACTTGTCAACAATTGTTCTGGTCACCCGTAGTAAAAACATTTTATTTTAAATTTTCATTTTATCCTCAGCAGCAACTTGGTATGACTGTTTTTGTCGAAAATTAATTGATTAAAATTTTAATTAGTTAAAAAAAACAAAAAAACTTCAGCTCTCATCACTGATTAAAAAAAAGAAAAAAAAGTTATTCGATCTTAGAAATCTCACAGCAAGTTGTAAACATTACGCAACAAATTACTACAACAACCTGTTACTTACTCACCTGTTGTTTAGTTTGCAAGAAGTGGTTTCGAATAAATTTTTTTTTTAAATACTAAAAAAAGTGAATTTTTTTTTATTTTAAGAATATATTCTTAATAGTTATGCAAAGAAAGTTTTTAGATAGTAGATAATTTATTTTATTGCATTTTTTTTTTAGCTATAAGGTTTCGTTCGTTGACAACACTGTGTAAGAAGTGGAACTTCACTTTTATTTTTTTTTCTCTCACTCTCTGGAATAATGAATAACTAACGAAAAGTCCATATTGCAAAATACAATCAGCAATTTTATTGGTAACTAACAATCTATATATTTAAAAATTATAAGTTTTCTAAGGCTAAAAAAAGCCAAATAACATATTTAAAAAAAAACAAACGCTTTTGGCTTAAAAAAAAGGATTTCTTGAATTGCAAAAAAAAAATGTATTCCTAGCTAACTATTCCCTTTTTTGTGTTTACTTACATGTTTAAATTACAATATAAATGTAATAATTTATAAGCGATTGGTAAGAAGACGCATTGAATTTGGTTGGATAGAGAGAAGAAAAAGGTAAATGCAAATTTGGGTTAATTCTCCAAAAACGAAAACGAGGCGAAATTACTGGTTAGCGCATGCGCATTGCCATTACGTGGTGGTACTTGTCGAAAGGGCCACAACAACAACAAAAATCGTTATTTTTTCTCTCTGTTTCCAGGATTTGAGATTTTATTTTTTTTTTTTATGGAACAATTGAAGATGGAACAGGATACCGGCGAAAGTGATAAAAGTTCCGATGAAGATACAGAGTCATCTGGTTCTGAGGAAGATAGTTCAGGTCAGTTGATTATTTGCTTATTACGTTCTTCCTTCGTTCTGTTTCAGCACATTACCAGTAGCAGCACAATGTGATAAATAAAAAAAAAAATTATCATTTTTAAAATGAATGATAAAAATACTATAAATTTAATGTTCTTCATTTTTGTAATTTGTTCGTTTTAAACGTTTATGAGGATTCTATTTTATTCTTTAAATATTTTAGTCTGCTTTCTATTGTGGTTAGCATTAAATCTTTCATTTCTTTCTTCATTCACTCATTACTAGTCGTTAGTTTATCAAACCTCGTCTCGAGTTTTCCATGCTTTAATGTTTACGATGGATAGAAATCTAAAAAACATATTCTTTAATAGCGTATTTTAAAACGATGTATCTGAAAATGTTATATTTTCATCTTGGCTTTTATTTGCAAATATTTACAATACTTAAAATGTTATTATTAACCATCAGTTATGACTCTCGACTTTGATTTTTTTTTGTACTATAAAGGCGCGCCATTTTTACTCTACCAAAATGCATTTAACAAATGTTGGTCATTTTATTTTATTTTATTTTTCTAGTATTTTGAGAATATTTGCTATAATTAAGTATTTAGGCATACTTTTCTATACATATATGTATTTTCCCTGTGACACAAAAACTGGCGCAAGATTGTCCTTTTTACCGTATTAACATGAACATTAAAGCTCTGCTTTGTACTAACGTTATGGAAAATGCCTATGATTTTGTTAAAAAGACTTTAAATTTCTAATAGAAAATTTAAGAATAACTCCGGTTTAAAAACATATATAAATAAAAAGCATAATTTTTATAATCATTTATTAGTTAAAAAATATTTTGAATGTTTGAGCGTCTCTTTTTTTTTTTTTTTTTTTTTTTCGACTTTAAGAAGAAAACATTTTGTATAATTTTCTTCCCTTAATTCTAACAGTTTTGGCATAAGGCCACGAATATTGGGCATCCGGTGAGGCTAGAAGTCACTAGACTACACTGATTTTTGCTAGACTAGACGATGAGACATCAAACATAAATAAATGTGTGTAACATAGTTGGCGGGCCTGATAATTCGTTTCATGCGGAGAAAGCGGGGGGGGGGATAGCTCGCCTTTTTAACGCAATTTTATTTTTGTTACATCGTCAAACCTTGGTTACCAAAAAGGTTGATTTTTTACATGGTGTTTGTAAATTTTACTCTTTTTTTTTTTTTTTCCTCTCTTTCTCGAACGAATAACAGAAAAGACTTGAAATTATATTTATACGAAAGTAATAAGAGAACAATGCCGCAGAAATTTAAATTGTTAACAAAACTCCTTTTGAGAAAGCTGAGTGTCATCATCGCCTTTTTGAAGCTCTATTGTAAACAAGTTATCGCTTAAAGAAAAATACCTTCTTTTTCCACACCAGTTTTTCCTTTTTCTTTTTTTTCTCCTAAAACCTCTCTAATTCTATCCCTGACAAATATTTTTAAATGAATGGAGTTTCAGTTGTAACAATAGGCACTGCGACCAGAAATAATTATCTTGTTCATTTCTTTTTCTTTTAAGTTTTTTCCATATGACTATATAAAACTAGTCTTTAGACCATTCCGGATCACGAAAGTCAAAAAAAGTTTATTAACTTTTACTTATTGCCGCACCCCCTCCCCCACGGAAGTTAAATGTATCACGTGAGTTAAAAAAAGTTGAAACCTCGTAATCTGGAGATCTTTTTCATAAATTACTTTCTATTGAAGCAGTCCATTGCACTATTTACAATTTCATTTTTCGGACTGTTGACGACCGCTTTATTGTCACATTCACAACGTTTCGGTCGTTCTATGCTCCGGTCTTCTTCAGTTTTGCGTTTCTGAAGATTGGTTCGATGCGTTTGTGTAGATGTTTTCATGTTTATAAACGTCATCTAACCAATCTTTAGAAAAGTCAACATATAGATTGACTATTCTGGGTTCGGTTTGAAATTCACACAGATATTACCTGAAGCTGTGACTGTGACAATAAAGATAAGGACAACAGTCTGAACAATGTAATAGTCTAAATAGTTATAATACCTCATCTCAGAAATATAGACAGGTGTTAAAACAGTCCAGATTACCAATTTCAAGATTTCTCTTATATTTTAAGAAACCACATTGTATGAGCATATCTTGTTTTGGCGTATATTGGGTGATCAGTCTATGTGGTAAAAACTGGACCCCATGAATTTTATGGAGTGCTTCTTTTCTTAATATATGATACAAGAAAACAAAAATTATTTCTGGCCACACAATGCCTATTGTACAAATCCACCAAATTTTTATTGCATTTTTTATTAATATATTGTAAATTTGCTGTTAATTCAAACATTAATTTCTCTGTCTTGAGCTTATGACCATGTCACATTGAAACACTAGTTCTCATATGGTCACTAAAGTTAACCAACGCGAAAAAAAAAAAACTGAACTTATCTCTATATAACTTGCTATTTTTAATGAAACTTAAATAAAACTTGTTAAATATATTATAACGTTTCCTATTTGTTCCTTATCTTATCATTGTTGTGTTTCTGATTTGATTCCAATTCATCCAAACATGGAAAATACAACAAAAAGATGCCATTATTCAATTCATCTGTACAAAAATCTCTTATCCAGTTACTCAATAAGAAAGAGAAGAAAATTCCTACTCTAATGTATTGCTGTGAAAATATATCCAAAAATACTTATAAAGTACACAAAACCATAACATATCTTCTTGAATACATCCATGATTACCTCCTCACATATGCAGTGTTTTGTTAGCATCGCACAACAAAACATATATAGGAAAATTATCTTATCCAACTCCAGAGCCAATAGCTAAACCATTTCCTACAAAAACAATTGCCTAAAATACAAGCTACACAATCTTTGCACCCACAGTAGATGGAGGAAGATTAGTAACTTGAATCTTGTTTATAACCTCTTTTGCGCTATCATGAAGCTTGAAAGCTTTAAGCCATGGCTTAAAATTTGTGACTAGAACAAGAAAACTGCCATAAACAAAATCCATAGATTCAACTACACAGACTTTGAAAAGTGTTCCACATGAGGAATTGTAGCTGAAAACTTGCCAATACCAAAAAAACAATACAGCCCACAAGATACCTATGGGCACTAGAAAACCTGTCTTGGAATAGAAAAATAACCATATTTGACTAAAAGTGGCAGAGTAGTCATGATGGACAATGACATCTAGATTGAACAATTAGAATCTCTTGACTGATGATAACATGAGAAAATCAATGAATGGACAGAAAAATTCAACAAAACAGTTAACAACCCAACATACATTAAACACTCTGGTGACTTAACTCTGAGAATATGAAAGATAAACATAGGAAATAATTATGGTAAGCTTAGAATGTCAAATCATTATGCACACTTATACCCATCACAAAATGTTTCAACATATTAAGAGACCACTCCCACTAAATCCAAAGAAAAGCTTCATCAACAGGCCCATAAAATCATAACTATACAAACTAATTGCTAATAACGGTTTCTCTTTTAACAAATATTTCTAGAAACAAAAATTTTGTTTAATGTTGGAATCTTCTATGTGTTGTGCTTGCATGTCTGTTTTAGAATTTCTAGAGTCTGGCCTTCTAATATAACATCACAATTAAAATCTTCCAAACCTCATAAAGAGACTCAACAATGTAGAACCAACCATCAAATTCACACATGTGTGAAATAAACAACATCATACTCTTCTTTGACATCCTGTTAATATGGAACAACAAATTTGATTTTAAAGTTTACCAAAAACAAAAATTATACAATTTCTATTCCCATCAGTCAAAAAATAAAATCAGTACTAATCATAGGTTTTTACCTCAGAACTTTTCAAATATTCAGCCCAAAACCCAGATGAAGAGAAATACATTGAAAACACGTTTAGAGTTTTGCATTAACCATATCAAATTGTAGGCACTACTGACACCAAAAACAAAATTTATAATCCTACCATCCAAGACTCTGTCAACAAAATTTGAGAACCAACTAGCCATCCCTGACACTAGGATCATACCCATAACCTCCAAGATTATCAGAGATCTAGTTCACAAAAAACATAGAACCAACAGGATTTATAATATTAAATGTCTTCAGTGCCAAGAGAGAAAGGTGAAACCTTCAGAAACCTAAAAGCCTGTATATATGAACATAAGAGAGACACACTGAACTCTTTAGTAAGGTCAATTCAACCAAAAAAGGGAAAAACGTTAACCCCCCAAAAATAGATTTTTTTTCATTTTGATATATGTTGGAGATCTTGTAGCCATTAGAAAATCATTAAAATTTTAAATGGAAATTCCTAAGTTTTCTCAAGATATTGCAAATTGAAATTTTGCTGAATTGGTACTTTCTGTTGACTGACATTTCCATTTTCAAACCCAATGATCTCACAAAAACTCTTGTATCTTCTGATCAACTGGCCAGAAATTAATGAAATTTAATACCCTTATAGATTATTAGTCAAGAAATCCAAACATCCCTTTAGAATGTTAGAGGAGGGAGTAACCAAAAAGTAGATATTAGCAGTTTTCTGGTGAAAAATGAACATTTTTAGGTAGCCAACTACATGGAAAACATCTAAAAACAAGAGTACTTTTTTTTTCTTTTTTTTCTTTTTCTGAAATTTCTGATTCATTGTAATTTTGCAATTATGATCTAATACTGACTCATTCTGCTAAAAGTAGGCACCTCCATGAGATCGCTAAAAAACAGCATAGCATGAAGAAAAAGATGCCAAACTTGACAAAAACAAAATTTTATTATTAAGAGGAAAGATCAAAGTATTTTTTTACATTTTTTAATCGTTCCTAGCACGTCCGAAATTTTTGTTAAAAATCTTTTTGAGTCAGCAAAATTGACAGATAATCGATATTTTATAAAATAAATGAAAATCTCGGTTTGAAATCCTTTTAAAAATCAATTATCATTTTTTCAAAACTTATCTTAAGAAAATCAGAAATTATAATGTT